CCCTAATGTTTTCTTTCTTGTCCTTGAGGTTGCAAATATAACATATAGGCAGGATTGTAATTATTCTTCTGTTAACTGTAGTCTTGCATTATCTGATGTTAACATATATGTCTTAAAGGTCTTTGGGAATGAAAGAGGCTTTCATTTGTTACATATTCTAATTATTCAATTATTTTGTCTTGGAAAACGTTGGCATAAATAGTACTGATTCTGACATTTTTTGCCTTCTAGGGCTTTAGAAATTTGCAACAAGATTTTGAAGTTGTTGGCAAACAATAAGCTTTAGCTTCTTTTGGATTGGGTCTACTTTCTGCATATTATAGTTGGGAATATTTTAGATGTTTTATCCAATAAATATCATTTGTGGTTTCATCATTCATTTGATGAATTTTTTAGCAGTTCTTGTCTTTTGGAATTCCTCTGCTGTCATTAGTTGGGAGAACTGCACCAACCATCCCTCACATATCGTTGATATGAAAATTTAGTCCTCCAGAACGACCATAATCAGTTTTAGTCCGTAACAAACAAAAAATGATCACCTTTGGTCCCTTTTCACTTTTCCGAGCAAATTTTGGCCGAAACTCACTGGGTCCACATGTCCACATGTCATGCCTAATTTTTAAGGGGTAAAAATGGAAAATCACCGTTGACCAATTTTGTGAGGGACTAACCATGAAAAACTTTAGTTAAACATTAATCAAAAGATACAAAAACTAACCTGCCATTATTTGCAATTCATCTCAACCCAAAATCTTAATACCTAGCAATTCAAACAGTATAGCAATGTCCTTAAATCTTAACAAATCTCACCATTGTGATCAAGGAAATAAGTGATTTACCAAAATCAATCTCGGATGAAAAAAGCATGTACTGTACTAGTACTAGTATAAAGTCCTTGCTATTCAAATTTATCCACCACTTTTGTTTCTTACATCATCAAAAATCCCTCCACAAAATGCCGTGCTCAATGGCTAACAGCACTCCCTTGACGCCACAGCACGTAAGCCACCAAAATGAAACATCCTCCCCTACTGCACTACACCAAATCTCAGGCAAATCCTTTGCAAATTCAGCACCAAAACTGTACCCAAAATGTCAAATTCTATTCCTCCATCACCTCCTTTGACCCCTACTCACTCCCCCTTCCAAAAATGCCTCCTTGCCATTCCAAAACCCAAACATACTCCATTACATCATAATTTTGCCCTAATTCATTTGCCCTAGAATGATAAGAAAACTCAGGACCTTCCAAATTTTTCTGAGTACCATGGTTGTTGCCCTTGGATCGATTATAGTAACCCCAAACAACATCTTCAAGCCCTTGGACAGCTTTTGGAAGATTGTTCTCTGCAAGAAATGCATCAGCAGGTAACTTTTGGCCAAATATGTATCTACTATTTTAAAGACATCACAAACCCTTCTTCTAGCTAAATATGCCTCTACCGTGATCATGATCATTGCAACTTTTCAAAGTATTAACACATCTTTTCATCAATCCACAAATCCTTTGGTTGAAGATTAAAAAATACATACCATAATCTGGAATTCTGGTGTTGTCTTCTTCATTTATTAGGCCGGTTAGCCTTTCTCTTACAAGTCTTCAATCACCAATTTCCTTCAGATGAATTTCAATCAGTTTGGGAGTTTGCAATTTGGGTTTGTTTTGTGCTGAAATGAATTGCAGGTAATGTTGGGTTAGTTTTGTATTTTTTGACGAATGTTTAACTAAAGCTTTGCATCTAGTCCCTCACATTTTTTGTCAACAGTGAGGTGGTTTGCCATTTTTGTCCTTAAAAAATTGGGCATGGCATGTGGACCCAGTGAATTCCGGCCAAATTTTGCTCAAAAAAGTGAAAAAAGACCAAATGTGATCATTTTTTGTTGGTCAGGGATTAAAACTAATCATTTTAGTTTTGAGTGACTAAATTTTCACATCAGTAATATGTGAGGGACGGTTGGTGCAATTCTGCCGTCATTAGTTGGAATGGGACTCCACCATGATTAAGGTTTGGTCCTTCGATATCTAATCATTGTGTAATTTCTTACTTTTTAAAATTTTTATGTTTTACTTTTCTTTTTTAAGGTTTATCTATTATCTATTAATTTCAGTTGCTAGTTTCTACTACCCTGTGAAATCTTAAAAGAATTTAGCACAAATTGCAAGTTAATAACATGATTTTGAGATAATGTGACTTTGGGTCTAAAATCTTTTTGAAGCTGAAGTCTGCCATTTCCTTTATATTTTCTGGGTTTTGATGTTAATTATTGTCCCTGGTTGCTAGAATGGCAGTTAAATGAGCAATTGCTCATCCAGGTCAACAGTGAGGTGGTTTGCCATTTTTGTCCTTAAAAAATTGGGCATGGCATGTGGACCCAGTGAATTCCGGCCAAATTTTGCTCAAAAAAGTGAAAAAAGACCAAATGTGATCATTTTTTGTTGGTCAGGGATTAAAACTAATCATTTTAGTTTTGAGTGACTAAATTTTCACATCAGTAATATGTGAGGGACGGTTGGTGCAATTCTGCCGTCATTAGTTGGAATGGGACTCCACCATGATTAAGGTTTGGTCCTTCGATATCTAATCATTGTGTAATTTCTTACTTTTTAAAATTTTTATGTTTTACTTTTCTTTTTTAAGGTTTATCTATTATCTATTAATTTCAGTTGCTAGTTTCTACTACCCTGTGAAATCTTAAAAGAATTTAGCACAAATTGCAAGTTAATAACATGATTTTGAGATAATGTGACTTTGGGTCTAAAATCTTTTTGAAGCTGAAGTCTGCCATTTCCTTTATATTTTCTGGGTTTTGATGTTAATTATTGTCCCTGGTTGCTAGAATGGCAGTTAAATGAGCAGTTGCTCATCCAGGTCAACCTCAAGGTTGATTTGGAGCATTTTGTGGTGATAATGTAGAAGTGGTTGGTTGTGGACCCTGTTTCAGTTGTAATTTTTATATAATTCAAAGGCCAAATTTTGGTTTGTCCATTTTCTCCATCCACCATGTTTCCTGAGTCGTCGGTTTGCAATGCTTAGCAAGGTGACAAGCTAACTGTTACATAATCTTTCAAATAAGTCATACTTTCTGCTGTTTTTGGTGATTCGGAGTTTTTGACATCTATTCTTTATTATCAAGAATAAAAAGAAAAAATCTGGAATGGAAATTCTTAGCTATGTTACAATCATGGTTCGCCATATCAGCCGATATCGATACGTATCGGTCGAGTCATAACTGGAACGGAGAGGATTGTACCATACCGATCTCTAAATCGCGGATATTATCATATCCGCGATGACTCATTCTGACTCGGCCCATATTGATCGATTTGAATCTGTGATGCATGATATTGGCCGATATATAGGAGTCAACTCGGAGTCGATTCGAATATTTTTTTAAATTGTGTCTTTTTTGGTATTTTCTAATTTTAGTAATTTTTTCAAAATTTTTGGAAACTTTCATGTGTTATAATATACGTATCACCCGATATTCAACTAATATACCGCAACAGATGTGAACCAACCGAGTCCGCGACGCGACACGACCTGTGATGGCGAACCATGGTTACAATATTGAAGTTGGCGCTCGGTGAGTTATGTCATGCATTTTGCAAAGTTACTTCTAAATTCAAGACAATGCTCTCACCTGAAATAATCCGCCAGCTCTACATTCAATTGCGGCATATTTGTTACTCTTAACTTTTGATGAATCCTATAGTATGTTTGTTACGTTCTGAATTTGTTCAAAGTGTATTGACTTGAGTTGCTGATAAATTTCAGATCCGACAGACTTGGAGGAAATGAATTCGTCATTAACTCTGGTGGCTGATAGTGTTTGGAAGTATCCCAGTTGACAACTCTCAAGTCACTGAATTCATGGATGCTTCTTAAATTATTGCAATGTTTAGATGTAAGGATGGTATAACTTGTCGTCCCGTGATCCTAGCTCCTTAGGAGAAGACATATTCACCTCCATGTTAAATCTGGAAGAAACCCTCTTCAAACAAGGGTATGAAGATGGCTATGCCGACAGCTTAGTCCCCGACGAGGAAAAGGGCCAGGCAGCAAGTGGACCTGAAAACGGGAATTGAAATGGGACAAGAGCTAGGTTTGTATAGAGGCTTTATAATATTTGGGTTGACCCAGCATGCTTTTCAACTCGGGTCCTCAAAAGGATTAAGCTGATGCAGGAATTGCTTAACAAGTACCCGATATCCAACCCAGAAGATGGGCCTGGTACTTATACTATGGATTCTCTAAGCTTCAAGTTTATGGCTACTTTTGGCACTTTGAATTTGGAGGTGGAATTCAATTGCCACCCAAAGCTTCTGATAGTAGAAATTTTGAACTTTGAGGTAAACTTTTTTGCCTATTTACAAATACTGTAATTTTCTTTTTTATGTTTTTCTGCAATATATGTTTTGGTGCCTATTTAGTAGTTGATTCTTTGTTTTGTTTGTTTATTTGTTTATTTATTTTTAAGTGTTTGGTTGAGTTTATGATTTTCTTGCCTGATTTGGGATTTTCTGGAGTATGCTGTATTTATTGGATATCACCATTTGGATTGGGGGAGTGGGAAGGAAAGGTAAGGAGAGGAATTGGATGGATTTTGTAATTCTTATTTGGATTGATTTTTGATGAGTAAAAGGAAAGGATAGGGAGGGAAAGGGAGGCAAAGAATCTAGTTGTTTTCTTGATATATGGTTTCATGTAAAAGTGGGGTGGAAATGGGGGGAAAAGGAACATTTTTTAAAAAAAAATAATTTAGTTTTTTTAAAAAACAATTTTTTCCCTTCCCTTTTTAGTTAACTAAATACTTGATCTTTTCCATCCTCAATCCAAACAGAAGTTTGGTGTTTCCTTTCTTTTCCTTCCATATTTGATCCAAGTAAGGTGAACTTTTCTTTCCTTTCTTTTCTTTTTTTTTTTTTACGGAAACGGTAGGAAATATATTGATTTCAAAAAACAAGCTATACAAACTTGAGCAAAGGCCCATCACGAGCTTTACAATTGTGTTGCTTGACACAGAGGACTTAGATATTCCTCATCTTGTACTAATGTAGTAGCATACTTGCTAATTGTTCTCCCTAATCTATTACCCTGGTTTTCAACCAAGCCGAATGAGCAGTTCATAAACAAAGCTTTGAGCATGTGAATATCTTCTAGTTGAGCAAAAAGTCTGATGTCTTGTGTGTTGTGAGTTCGCAGCATTCGTAACAAGTGAGCGGATGAAACTAGTAGATTAACATCTGGCCAAGGCTTTTGTCTAATTTTGCACAATGATAACTTAAGTGCAGCAGAATAATCCAGTAAAAAGTCACCTGTACTTCTCTCTCGCATGGCCCATGCAGCATGCACATTGGTGTCTTTTGTTGCCACTATGCCAATGCCAACAATTTTGCTTTCCTTCAGCTGGCTCACCTCCACTTCAATTGTCATCTTATTGCTGTGTATAAAGTCGCACGGTCCCTCTTCATCACTAGCTGATGTTTCCTGGCTGCTCACCCGCTTCTCCCTACTTTTCACTTCAGTGTACTCTATCCATTCTAGATGGGCTTTCTGTACAATGTCAAAAGGAGTCCTGCACTTGTTGTTAAAGACCTTGTCATTTCGAGCTTTCCACAGTTGCCAGAGAATGTTCACAGTAAGAGCTTGGTGCTTGTGCCCTTCATTTCTGCTTGTTGCTTCCATTAGACCACTCCACCATTTGTTGAAATTGCCTCTACTGTTATCAATGCCTGGTCTCCTTTCCCTTCCTTTCTTTTTCTTTCCTTCAATCCAAACAGTAAAAGTTTAGGGCAAATTGTGGTTATGGTCCCTTATGTGTTCATTTTTTTCCTACTTTAAACCCCTCACTTTTATTTTGCTAATTCTGCTCGGTTAGTTGTTCAGAAGAAGCCAAATCAGTTTTATGTATTTCTTTATTTATTTTTTAACACGATTTCTCATCGAATGAATAGTGAAATCTGCAACTGAACAAGAATTTGTCAAAGCACATGTGTTTCAATCGTAGATTTCTCTGTTTTGGCCAAAGTTGCACTTGAAAATGTGTTTTTGAATGAATATGCTAATTGATAGGTGTTGAAAATAAAACGGGACAGAAATGGCAATTTTCCCTTGAATTTAGGAAGCAAGCTGATAACTTTTGTTGGGAGTTAATTAAGTTGTTATTAAGTAGATTTTCTTGGAAGCTGGATTCAAAAGTAGTCCTACATTTAGTAAGTGATTGCCAATGGAAAAGAAATAATTAAGGAAGAAGCTTTCAAATGAACCATCACATTGATGTCCAAAAAAGAAAAAGGAACATAGCATTAAGCTGTCTAGATAAATGCTTCCTGATCATGTACAGAAAGACTGCAGATTTGAGACTACCTAAAATTCTTTCTTTTAGTGGGTCCTGTCTCATGCTTGTGACATTTTTTGTCAGGATTATTGATTTTATTAATATATGCTATATGTGTTGCAAAGTAATGAAATGAGTAGCCCCAGCATGAGGTTGAGAGCTTTATTGGCGTTTAAATCCTTAAGAAGGGCTTTTCATTACCTAAGTGGTAGACAGGAGTTTATCCAAATCGATATCTTTTAGTGGTCCTATCTCATGCCTGAAACATTTTTGTTCTCGGGATTATTAGCTTTATGAATAACCTTAACTTTTCATTTTACAAAATTAGGTGTAGCCTTAACACAATGATAGGTGCTTAGGTTACTCCAATGTGACCTGGAAGTCACAGCATTAGCACTTAGAATAGCCTCTCTAGTTGTAGTGTTAAAGCTGCACACGTCAAATCTTCTTAATTGCTCGAGACAAATTAATTTAATCTTCTTAGAGTTGCGGTGGGATCATCATCTATTGAATTCAACTGTTTGTTTTGTGATTTCCATTCTTGTCTGATACTAGTGGTTGCTTTTTATTTTCTCTCTCTCTCTCTCTCTCTCTCTATATATATATATATATATATATATATAAAAGAAAGTGGGCAACGGTTTATTTTCCTATTATAGAAATCCATTCTTTGCTATGGTGATTGGAGTTTTCAATTGCTTGTCCTTTGCTAGTTGACAAGCATTTATGCTATACCACAAGGTCATTACATGCAGTTAAAGCTACTAAATTTCACAATCCTCATAACCATTACTATTTGTTCCCCAAGCACTTTGCCCTCTTAAACAGGTTATTTCTTGTCCTTCGGGTTGCCTGCATATATGCATGTGTCCCGTATAGCAGTATTCTTCTGCTATAGACTACGTCAGGTTACTTTTTTTTTTTTTTTTATGTTAAAACATATGTCGTAAAGATCCTTTGGAATGAAACAGGCTTTCATTTGTCACATGTTGTAGTTGTTAATTTATTTTGTGTTTGAAAATATTGATGTAAATAGTATTGAATCTGAGACTTTTTGGCTTATGGGGCTTTAATTTGCAGCTAGCTACTGAAGCTGTTGGTAAAAAACAGCTTCAGCATCTTTCAATGGGTTTTAGTTTCTGCATATGGTCACAGGCATATTTTTAGGTGTTGAGTCCGGTAACTATCTGTTTTCATCAAGCATCTGATGATGTTAACATTTGTTAGTCTTTTGGTGTTTCTCTTGGCTCGAGCATTAGTTTCACCTATTACTCCACCATAATTAAGTTTGTTCCTTGGATGTCTAATATTGTGTGATTATTGTTTCTAAGGTTTATCCAGCAATTTTCTACTTTATACTCCCCTGTGAAATTTTAAAAGACCTTTTGTGACAAAATGCAAGTCATAAAATGATCTCTGTCGAGATAACGTGACTTTGGATCTAACATCTTTCCGGAGCTGAAGCGTGCCATTCCTTGGGTTTTGATGTTAGTTATTGTCCTTGGTCACTAGCTAGAATGGCACTTAAACAAGTCAGTTGTTCAACCAGGTCAATCTCGAGGTTGATTTGGGGCATTGATGGTCGGTTATGGATCCTGTATGAGTTCTGTTGTGCATATACTGCAAAGTTCGTGTTTTGATTTGTCCAATTTCTCCATCAGCCATGTATCAAAATTCCACCTTCTACATTAACTGCAATTAACAAAGAGCAGACATCGTCAAAGTAGTATTGCCCCATCTATATCCCATAACGTTTTATTGTTATTTTTTCCTGACATTTTTACTCTTTCAGTTGAGTTGGCTTCTTGTTTGCAACTTTTAGTGCAGTGTTGTGCGCAGTTTGACAAGCTAACTGGCAAAATAACAACAGTTCTGCATTGTAGATTGTGTGTTGGATTGGGACTCATTTGGTGTTCTTGACTTTTGATGGATCTTATAGTATGTTTGTTATCCTTCTGAATTTGTTCAAACAGTATATTAACTTGAGTTACTCATATATTTTAGATATGACAAACTTGGAGGTAATTACTCTCTTCACACCGGAGGCTGATAGTAGTTTGAATGATTTACCCTAGTTGACAACTCTCAAGTCATTGGATTTGGTTGCTTCCTGAATTATTGCAGTGCTTAGACTAAGGATGGTTAGAAATGAGCCTTCTTATGTTCCAAACCATCTGGATTTACGTTATTTTATTAGTAGCTCTGGATCATGCTAATTCTTGTGTTCTTAACTTGCATCTGGCTTACTGAAAATGGTGTAGAACAAGATGGGTAAGAGCTTGCCTTACTAGCAGTAGCGCAAGAATGTGGGGATTGTGGCCTGTTTTGGGGGCTGTGAAGTGTGAACTATACCCATGAACAAAAACTAATTTTGGGGGCTGTGAACGTGGGTAGAGAAGAGGGGAAGAAGAAGAGAATTTAGGGAGAAGAAGAACAAAGGAACTAATAAACCAAAACTCAATGTTTATTCATCAGTTCTCTCTTTAGCTCAACTAACGCAGGAATGTGAGTATTTATAAACCATAAAGCTTCGTAAAACTCCTATTTTCATATTCTAAACAGGAACTTTCCCTAATAACTCTGACAACTTACCTCTTATAATTGACAACTGAAAAAGACTCAAATGACTACATTCTGGAAATTTCCAGTGACAACAGATAGACCAAAATACAAAGTACCCAAGACATAAAGGATGGAAACTACTAAAACCGAGGAAATAGAACTACAACAAAGTTATATAAAGATCCTATTCCTGTTCCTAGTTGAAGGTTGAGGAAAGTTTTCCTGGAGCTCTTTGTTGACAGCATCAGAAATTCTAGTATTTGTCGGTCATATTTGCTTGAGGTGATCTAGTACTTTCATTAGAACTACCTTTTGAACTTGGCCGTTTTATAGTTAAAAGAGTAGTCTCTTCTATATTTCCAAAATGTTTTTGGGAAAGTAAGTTATCTTGGTCCTAGTTTTCTTGTTTATATCTTATCTCCAGGTAAGACTGGCTGCAATTAATAGGCTGGTTTGAAATATTTTGACAATCACTTAACAGAGTTCAGGGAATGAGTTATACTACCCTCTAGTTTGCTTACTTTTCTTTTTAAATTCTTCTTTCATTTCACATCTTAGGCTTTGAGTTTTTTCCTTTCCTAGTCTGATTATAATCTTCCAGCCAAATATTACTGATTTTGTCAGTATGACCTGTATCTGTTAGTAGACCTTCACTGTCCAGGTTTGATGAGGAATAGATTCCTTTAGCTTTTCCCTATGCAGATTTGACTGGACTAACTCACTTGGCTGTATTTGGAGCTCTAGATTGAGACTGGAGTACAGAGAAAATTACTTCTTGTGTAACTGATTCCTTTTCTCATTCTTCTGACCTTGCTTTACTGTTGTGTGTGCTAACAAATGCTTGATTAACCATCTATTCTTTTATTCTCATATACTTTTTTTTTAAATACACTGTCTCATGTTTGACACTTGGATACTAGAATTACTTTAAGCTAGAGGAGGATATGTAGGTTCAGGGCAAGTTGGTAGTAATGCATTGACTACTACTTTTTTATTTTGCCTAATATAGAAAGTTGTGAAAAAGTTTCCGTTTGGTTACATTTTGTTTTTATTGTCCATGGTTTTACATTAGAGTCTTCACAGAAAATTTTCATTCATTTTATTGAAGCATTTAGAACTTGTGAGTCTTGTGGAGCTTCTGGTGTTTGGAAGCATCATGATTAGCAAGCAGTTCTTGGGTTTGGAAGAGTATGGCCAGTGTTAGAGATGCAGTGGGGAAAGGAATTTGGCGGAAAATTGGGGATGGTAGCAGTACCAACATTCGGAATGATCGTTGGATCCCAGGTAACAAAGGAGGGACATCTACTACTCCTAAACCCCAAAGTTGCTGCCTAAACAAAGTGAAAGAACTGATAACAAACTTCAGGTGGAATAGACTACTGATTTTCAATACTTTCAATGGCAAAGATGCTGAAGAAATCCTCAAAATCCCAATAAGTGTGGCAGGAAGGGCAGATAGCAGTTACTGGATAGCAAGCACCAATGGAAACTACACTGTGAAGTCAGCCTACAAGATGTTGGAGGGGGAGGAGAAAACTACTAATATTGGAAGCGGAGTAGCTGGACGGCAAGGGGAAACCAGCTTTAATGGACAGAAGGAGAAAGACTGGAGCAAAATGTGGAGACTGGACGTCAAGGGTAAACACAAGACTTTTCTTTGGAAATGTCTGAACCAAGCTCTACCAGTGAATGAGCTAATATACTGCCGAACCAGGATGGGGGAACCAATTTGCCAAATCTGTGGCGCAGGAGAGGAAACCACAGAACACTTGTTTTTCTTTTGCAA